GATAAGTGTGTTTCCTGTATAAAAGATATATCAGCCCTTAATTTCATCAGATGACTAATTATTTTAGTCCTTTTTGCCTGGGTCCGGAAGCCACGTACATTCCACGAAACTATTTTAAGTGTTTGCATGATTGCTTATTAAATGTCTGGAGAGAGATGATGATAATGTCAAAAAAAAAAAAAAAAAAAAAAAAAAAAAAATTCGTTGAGATTGTGGGCCATACATATAAACGTGTAGAGAATATAAACAAATACAGTGTGACATAGTGAGACAGAATAAACAAAAGCATAAAGATCGGTGAAATAAGATTCGTGTACGTTTAAGGAACAGAGAGAGGGTGAATCAATATATCATATAATATGACAGTCACAGTTTGTTCGATGTTAGGAATTAGTAAATTAAAATAGCCACGGAGTAATTTTGGAATCACGGTAGAGCTGTCCATCGATGTAAAGTTTGTCCACAATTATATTTGCACGTTTATTGTTTTGTCTGTGTTGTTTCATGATGGGGTAGAGAATTTTGCGCCGATTGTTTATTTCGCGTGGAAATTGATCATTCAGTCCGTAGTTGGTTCCTTTCAGTTCTTTGCCTTTGCTTTTGATGAGTTCTTTGTGTTTATAATGTTCCAGTTTAGCGATGATCGGTCGAGGTGATTTATTTGAACGTGTTCCGAGACGGTGAACTCTATGGAAGGTTATTTGATTTACAGTGTCCGGTTGGAGTTTGAGTTGAGTTTGCATGAAGTCTCTGATCATTGCTTCGGGATCGTCGGGAGAATTTTCAGTGATGCCAGAAAATATCAGGTTATCGCGCATGCTTCTTGTTTGAATGTCCAGGATGGTTTCTTTCATTAATTTGTTTTCTTTTATGATTGTATCCATCTGTTTGTTGAGTGATTCCACATTCATTTGGAGAGATGTATTCGACTGTTCTAGCTTCTCAATGTGTGTATATGCAAATTCCAGACTTGATCGGAGTTCTTTCATTTCGTTGTGTAATGTGACCAGTAAGTCCAGTTTGCTGTTAATGGATGCGAGTACACTGACCTCAATTTCTGTATTTTGTTGTAGATCACTGGTGTCAGTAGATGATGTCTTCTTCCGTTTGGGTGGTTTCTGAGTTTGTTGAGCTGTGGTGTCCATTTTGTAGTGGTTGTAGTAGTGGGTGGAATCTTGACGGCGCTCGCAAGAAAATGGACAAGTAGGATAATCAAATACACAAATATTAGGCCTACACCGTTTAAACATTATTAAAAATACATAGTATACACTTGTTTGTTCACAGTTTGAACGTTCTTGTTTCCATTTGTTTAATTTCAAGATCGGTGAATTATCCATTGCTTTTACAGCTACAAAGCACATAAACAGCACCTGAGATTATTGCCAGACTTTGTGTCTGTTGTTCCAGCTGCGACGTCACAGAAAATTAGAAACTTTCTAAAATTGAATCGTCGCCTGTCGCCGTCGCGGCAGGGTTAGGACAAAAATTCTGATTTACATGGAAAAGATACCGTTTATCGCGTGTCGTCGCGTTGCATGTAGTTAGGACATGGTGACAGAGCGAGATTTGTGTTTATTACAGTTTTTCTCAGTCGCTTTGATACATTTCTCAGATCTAATTAAATTTAAAATTCTCAAAACTACCTTCAATCTTCACATCATTGTGTCACTTTTGAACATCTAAAAAGCAGTTTCTCATTTATTTGAACAAGTTGCAAATGCTTTGGTACATCCATGCAAATGATTATGTACAATTCTCTGCTGTTTCCTACATTATCAATTGATTGTCATGTTGATCAAAATGTATTACAATGGGTCTCTATTGAATAGTCTCACACCCCCCACATTTCAGTTCATAGCATAAGTCTTTACATGCAAAAAAGTTGTCATAGTCAAGCATATTTCTATACATTTCCATTAGACTTTTTTTTTCTAATTCTGTCCTGTCCTGTTCACATTTCTACTTTTGTGTTTTTTCTTTACAGTGCTGTCTTTTCCTTTCTGTATTGCAATGACATGGTCTGTCAGCAAATCACAGTACAAACACTAAAAGCGTAAATGTGAATCTTGTTTCTTGCACATACACTATAATCTGGTGTGTAACCTACAATTTACAATAATTGTCATCACTTTATCCATATACATCAGAACACCAGAGTACACTGTTATATTGACAACATAATAAAGCAATGTGACTCTTATCCATACACAATGACACAAGGACTTGTCATTCTGATGACACTGACTTGTTAATTAACACAGATACTGTATTTACTTTTGAGAGATGAACTTAGGATTTTGAGCAAGAGACTGGCTTTTGCAGGAAATCCATGTTGTTTTGCTATTTGTACGAGTTTGCACTTATTGTTTTGCAAATGTCGAGAATGATTTGAGAAATTTGCCAAAGCGTCTGAGAAAAACTGTAGTACTACAACAATTGTTGCGTATCCAAGAGATTTAAAGTTAGCCACTAAAAGACAGTTCCAGTGATACCGATAACAGTTAGATGAGATAGGTGTACTGAATACCAAACACTATCAAAAGCTGCACTCAGATCCAAGAGGACCAAGAGGCTGAGGGCATCAGAATCAGAGGCAAGAAGGAGGTCATTCACTACTCTCAGAGATGCAGCCTCTAGAATGAAAATCAGACTGAAATCGTTTGTGCAGATTGTTTTTATCCAAAGGAGACTGTAATTATGTGGTGCCCACCTTTTCTAATACTTTAGATAGAATGAGAAGGTTGGAAATTGGTCTAAAGTAACTCCGTGTATTCATGTTTTTACTTGCGAATGTCTGACCTCGACGGACTGAACAGAAGGAATGAATCGGAGAAGATTTCCACGTCAAAGAAGGCGGAGCCTCAACGCACACTTACCTATACGTAATCACAATGGACCAATGTTCGAAGATATTTACCATCTGGTGCAAACTTTTCCAGAAAGTTCACTTTGGCAAGCTGTTTTGAGTCCCAAAACGAATTCGAAAGGAACTACACTTTGGCCTGATTTAGAAAGGAAAGGTTTCGATTTTGCTTGAATATATATCGGGACCGTACCTGAATAACTGCACCTTGTATCACAGTAGCTTTTAGAGATATTGAACGCAGTGATATGCAGAAATGAGCTAATAAATGTAAAAATGGATTCATTGCATAGAATGACTCACAAACGTCATTTTGGTCATTTTCCACTTATGCTTTCAGTGCCTTTCAACACCCCCACCTTTCATTTAACCCGTACCTCCACCTACCGGCTCTATTCAGTTCTTCTCCTATAATCTCATCTGTCACCCCTGATCTCATATCAGACAGTATTCACCCTGCCTCTTTAATATTCAATCATCATTCCCCTTTACAGTCATTCATGAATAATCAATTAAAATGCTGCCTCACATTCAAAGTAGTTAATTTCTTTAATGATGCCCTTCTTTGTCCTGTTTTGCTTCTGTGTGTTTTGAAGTCTTCTTGTATTTATAATATCACTCATGCGGAAGCCTGTACTTCCTTTTTTAAAATGCCCTTGGCATCAAAGTTGTGGCAAAAACAAAACTTTGGTAAAAAGAAATATGCTCTCAAAATGTATTTCAATCTACAGGGGGTGTCTTTTCCGGGAAAATATTTGTATCTCTAATAGGAAATGTGTGTATGTTGTGATACAGATAAAAATATTGAATTGAGGGTGCATTTTTCTTCTCGTGGGTATGAGGAGTTTCTTATTTGAAAAGTACCATGAGCATTATCCAGTTTGAGTTGACTTGTTTTCATAAAGAATGTATTTTTCCTTGAATGGTAAATCCCATGTTTCCGATTTGGTTTAAGACTGTTGAACCCCACTGTATTTATTATAGCCTATAATTTAATAGCCTATAAAGCCACTTAATTTAAATTGGGACCCAGTTTTTAGTACGTCATGTAAATGTACTGCTACAGATGGACTGCCACAACTAGAAAGACACTACTTCTTCTGGACCCCTTGTGTTTCTTTTCATTGGGGTTTTAGGGGGTATCGTTCATCTCTTCTAGCTGTCTCTTTCATTCCTTATTTTTTTAAATCCTCTACCTGATGACATTACTTTGGCTTTTGGGGACTGAGTGAAACTATCCCAAACCTTGTAAGGTTGAACCCTCTCAGATGATAAACCTCTAAGCTCCTGCAGCCAGCGATCAATCATTTACTCCAAGCTTTTCACACTTTGAGTCACAAATGTTACATTATCCTGAAGAATGAAGCGTCCTGTCTTGGAAAGTGCAAATTAATTTAGTTCCTTAGACCAGATGAAAATCTGATTTCTGTGGCTCTATCCCTCATAAGAATTGGCAATTCCTGATATTACCTACTGTAGATGGAATTAATTACATTTTCTTTTGTTATCTGTCCTTTACTGTTAAGCTCATTCTCTGAGACCATTACTACCCTCCTGTCTCTTAGATCTAGTCTAGACTATATTTTTTGAGAAATAAATGGACATTTCCATCCTTACCAAAACTGCTCAGCAGTTACATCAACTCATAAATCATTCACACATCTCACTCTCATGCTAAATGGACATATTCATAAAGGCATTACTTATTTTTAACTTCGCTTAAAGGAAAAGGAAAGACGTTCTATTTTTGGTCTGCCAGCTGTTGACATATTTCATATATTGTGATGTATTGTGTGTGTGTGTGTGTGTGTGTGTGAGGGGTAGTTCTGCTCTAGCTGAGGGGTCCAGAGGTGCCGATAGAGATCACACTGACATTGAGACAAGGAAGTGATTCATGGTGCCAGCTCACTACCAAACACCTGTCAAGGGTTGTTTTTACAAAAGGACCCGCTTGGATGCATCCGCTGTTTTCCCAAAGACTTGGGAGACTAAATGCTGTAGGATAGATGTAGAACAAGAAATCCAGAGAGCTGTTTTGAAAAAATGTATTTGCATTTGACTTTTGAGACTTCATAAATGTGACCTGGATTATTTTAACATTCATTCTAATTGTAATTTTAATTTGGTGTTTTAGGTCGGTGTGTCTGAGGCTTGGAGAGGAGGTGTTCCTGAAGGTTTATGATTACCTGAAGCAGGCCAGACAGAAGCAGGAGAGCGAGGAGAGCATCAGACAGGCTCTGGTCCAGCTGGTGGAGAAGCCCAGTGATTGCTTTGAAGTAGATCAACTTCTTTATTATGAGGAGCTTCTCTTGGCTGCACAGGAAAACTCTGTAAGATAACGAAGCAGACACACACTCACAGATGTTACCTGTCAAGATCCATATAGATCAGTTTATGTACTTTTAAGATCTGCCTGTGATGAAGCTTCATATTGTGAGAGCTCCACAATCTACAACAAATACAGTGAAATACTTTGCTATGGTCGTGCAAAATTTAGAATTTGAGAATTGAGTTAGAAATCGAAATGGCAGAATTAGAATGGATGAGGAATTTTACTGAATTGTTACATCAATTCAGTTCTGATTGCACACAGTTTGTGATATTTGTGAGGTGGGATGAGTTCATTTCTTTTTGTAAAGAGCTTATTAGGTCCTTAGCTTTATACACTTCATATTGATATGAAGTTACTTAAACAACTTATTTAAAGTTAAATACTGGTTTGGAATATATACTTTATACTGTACTTTGTTTGAAGATTTATCACAAAAGAATTCAAGTGATGCATGGATGGTTGGTTGGATGGTTGGTTGGTTGGATGGTTGGTTGGTTGGTTGTTTGGTTGGACGGTTGTTTGGTTGGATGGATGGATGGATGGATGGATGGTTGGGTGGTTGGTTGGTTGGTTGGATGGATTGGTTGGTTGGATGGATGGATGGTTGATTGGTTGGTTGGTTGGGTGTTTGGTTGGTTGGTTGGTTGGATAGTTGGTTGGTTGGATAGTTGGTTGGTTGGTTGTTTGGTTGGATGGATGGATGGATGTATGGATGGTTGGTTGGTTGGTTGGTTGGTTGGATGGATTGGTTGGTTGGATGGATGGATGGATGGTTGATTGGTTGGTTGGTTGGGTGGTTGGTTGGTTGGTTGGTTGGTTGGTTGGTTGGTTGGTTGGTTGGTTGGATAGTTGGTTGGTTGTTTGGTTGGATGGATGGATGGATGGTTGGATGGTTGGATGGATGGATGGATTGGTTGGTTGGATGGATGGATGGATGGATGGATGGATGGATGGATGGATGGATGGATGGATGGATAGATAGATAGATAGATAGATAGATAGATAGATAGATAGATAGATAGATAGATAGATAGATAGATAGATAGATAGATAGATAGATAGATAGATAGATAGATAGATAGATAGATAGATGAGTGTAAAAAAGGTTTACATGTTACTTAAAGTTAAATAATGTTTTTGGAGCGCATGCTGTACTATGGATATTCTGTACAAAAAATAAAGCTATTTCTTTATTGTGTTCAGACTAAATATACGTGGATGTTTTGTTTTTTTATTTGCTACTTCATATGATTCAACTTATGATGGGTCTAACTGTCACTATTTCATTCTTTTACTTCTTTTGAAGAACTGCAGTGCACTGATATATTACATTTTCACTATCTTCTATAAACCTCTGGTGTTTTATGATTACGGTTATTAATCGACCTGTTTTGTAGTGCCTGTTCACCAAAAATTGGCTGATTTCTCACAGCTCAGAAGTTAGCAAGCTGACTAAAGCGCAATAGTATAAGATCAATAGCAGAAAACACTGAGACACAGGGAGTGTAGCTGAGATACCGCTCCAGTCAGCCTTCTCTGTTGTTCTGTTGTGATCGCTGAAGCGAACCAAGACATTCATTACAAACTATCGACTTTTCTATGAGATGAATGTAAGAATTTTGTTGTTTTTCCCCCTTTAAAGATAGTCCAAACTCGAAAGATGGCTTTAATAATCTTGCCAATTGAACTGCACACAATGTATCACTCGGAAGAAGGTGTTCTTTACAATCCCATCACTAATTTAATCTGATAATGTATGTGTTCCTGGAAACAGCTGTTTGTTATAGTGATGGATTACTAGTAATGGTCGTTATCACACTGTTGCAATGAAAGTTCAAGGTTTGTGTGTGAGGTGAAAGAGTAAAAGAAAGTGATTCCCTCATTTTATCAGCATTTTAGCACATGCTCATAGCTGTTTGCTGTGTTCTTGCAGTCGTGCTGTGCTCGTTAACTCTTATTTTCACATTTTAAATGACGTTTCAGTTTTTCTGTCAAGTATTAACCGCATACGCCACATCCTCCTACTGTGCACGCTTTTCCACATGTCAAAAAAAAACAAAGCTTTCAAACACCTCACTGCTCAAAGGTTCAGAGATTTACGATAGCGAAAAATCCATTGTTTTGTAATAATATTTTTTTTAAATATTAATATTAACTTTACTTTGACTGGATTATCAGACACCTAATCACAGTCCGTTCAGACATCTTATCACGTTCCCCTGAAAAGTCTTGAACGGGAAGTGGCAGAATATTGTTTCGGACAATGACAAATTTCATGAGTTCACATCTACATATAATTATTATCGTTAAGGTTATGTGTGCTTGGCGCGCTGTCTGGGTGGAGGCCTCCAAGCTTGGAATTTCTGCCCAAACCCAGAGTACTCAGAGTAGTACTGAATACAGTAACTTGATGAGCTTGTTCAGGTGTGTTTGATTAGGGTTGAAACTAAACCCTAACCAAATATATAAAAAGATATCGCCCTAGTGTAGCTTGACTGCAGTTGAACTACTGTAAATTACATGTAGCATGTAGCTTGGTGAGATATAAAGTTGCTTCCCCAACACATACCATATCCCTCCCTATACAAGAATATTCATGAGAAACACCATTGGGTGTTGAGATCTATAATTGTTGCAACTCTGTCAACACCCCTGTGTTTGCACAGAGTGCTGTATTGACCTCAGAATTACAGTGATCACTTAAGGAGGTCTCAAACGCAAACCAAACGGCATTTCGAATTCTGTGAGTGTTAAGTTTAGCAAAGAGCAAGACATAATTAGACACAGAGATAATAACCACCTTTTTGTATCATGTTGCCCTTGGCCCTTCTGGCCATGATCAGACCTCTGCAAGTTTACCAGTATGGCCTAGAATTTATTTGATAATTATTTTTTTTTTAGAAAGTATATATTTTTAAAATGTTTAATTAATTAAATGTTTTAATTAAATCAATTTGTATAAACATTGTACAGTATATATTGATTAAAACGGTTGTGAACATATTCTCTTCTAAAATAATGATAATAAATAGTTTTTAAATAGTTTTATAGTCAAATTTTCATTTGATAAATTTTCAAGAATGTCTTTAAATATTAATAATTAAACAGTGATTTAAAAAAAATATTAACATAATTTAATAAAAACAAAATATCGCCATCATGCATCTTCATTACTGTTGACGAAATCTTTACAATTGACTTTGTTCATGAACATTCATTGTTAATGAACATTTTTGGCACTAGTTTCATTGATGATATTGATAGTTATGGAAGCTTGTTTCCGCCATAGAATGAAAAATATAAAAGGTAAGAATTGAGTGATATGAAGTCGCAATTGTGAGATATGAAGTTAGAATTGCGAGATATAAAGTCAGAATTGCGTGATATGAAGTCGCAATTGCGAGATATAAAGTCAGAATTGCGAGATATAAAGTCAGTATTGCGTGATATAAAGTCGCAATTGCGAGATATAAAGTCAGAATTGCGTGATATGAAGTCGCAATTCCGAGATATGAAGTTAGAATTACGTGTTATAAAGTCAGAAATGCACGATATAAAGTCAGAATTGTGAGATTTAAACTATTCTGAGGGGAAAAAAAGTTCGTATTTTTTCCCCTTAGAATTAGCCTGATAACTCGCAATTGCGAGTTTATATCTCACAATTCTGAGAAAAGATGTCAGGAATTCGACATATAAACTTGCAATTATGTGTTATAAAGTCAGAATTGCAAGATGTAAAGTCGCAATTGTGAGAAAAAAAGTCAGAATTGTGAGATAAAAAGTCCCACTTCTGTCTTTTTTTCTGACTTTATATCTCACAATTCTGGCTTTATATCATGCATTTCTGACTTTATATCTCGCAATTCTGACTTTATAACTCGCAATTCTGACTTTATATCTCGCAATGCTGACTTTATAACTCGCAATTGCGACTTTATATCACGCAATTCTGACTTTTTATCTCGCAATTCTGAGAAATAAAGTCAGAATTGCAAGATATAAACACGAAATTGTGAGAAAAAAAGTCAGAATTGTGAGATAAAAAGTCAGAATTGCGTGATATAAAATCGCAATTGCGAGATATAAAGTCAGAATTGCGAGAAAATATTTATTTAATTTTTTTATTCAGTGGCAGAAACAAGCTTCCATAGATAGTAGTGTCAAATAGCAAGTAAAAAGGTTTTGTTACAGTTTGCACAATATCTCAACGGTCCCCAGCTGTAAGTTTGCCAGTAAATATTTATTTATAATTAGTCCTATAAGTTGTGGTACTTTCCCGAGTTTGTGCTCGAAGACTTGCAAAAGAAGCCACGCTGGGCGCAGGTGCAGGGACCCGATCAAAGAGCAGGTTTTGAATAAGAGATGCTCTGCTTAAAATCGATTTCACCTTCAGATTCTGCAATCAAACACACACCTGCACAGTGAATGCAGATCAGTATAAATCGTTGTTGGCTCCACCAGTGCTTTCCAGCTACTGTGATCCTCATGCTGGGAGGTCTGTGCCTTTGTGTCCCTCCTCCTGTGGGCTACATTAGTATTGAGCTCAGCAGGTTTCTGGATGCCAATGGATAAATTAATTGATATTTTGGCGCGGTGCGGAGCTTGCAACAATTCCAATCTTGTAGAAGCTCTTCAATTGATCCACTTTCCCAATCACTGGAGTTCATGCTTTAATTAAGGTATCCAAGATCTAAACATTTTCTCAAAAGCATCCAAGTTTTTGTTTTTGTTGATAATGATGATGACTAATTCATCGAATGTTCAAATGGATGGATGGATATAGATAGAGACACATTTATTTATCTGTGGGTGATGTTTGTTATACTGTAGGTTTATTCAAATTCACATTGCCTAAGTTATTACATCTGTTGTCAAATACAGTATTAAATGGGTGTATCACCAATTTCATTTTAAGAATAAGCTGCAATGTGGACAATTTTTTTTGTACTTACTGAAAGAATCTGACTGTGCAAGACTAAGTTCAAACTCTCAAAGCTTAACCAACTGCATCGCATCCAGGAGTCTGTAAGTGAACACACTGTCTGAAGGAACTTATGTTATTAAGGGCTTCAAGCTAGACTATCAGGTCTTGATCCTGATCCTTAACTGGGCATATTCAGCTACTGACTCATCTCTGTGTGCCTCTGCCTGCCATTTGTGTCATCAGGTTCAGGTGGAGAGTGGGTGTTCAGTGCGCTGTGGCAGTAACAGCCGTACCTTTAACCAATCGTTCCCATCAACTCTGACTCTGAGTCCCTGACCAAGTGTAATGATGATAAAGCCAGGAACGCTGAAGAGAAGTAATGCCTCCTCTTACTGAGAGAGTGTGTGTGCACTGCGTACTGTACATTGTTAGCATTCATCTTGTCCAATACCATGTCGGAGGGCCCTGGGGCTTTCAACTTTCGTGTCATTTTTACCCACCTCCCAGTACTGAATTGATGAATTGCAAATATTGACCAACATAATATTGTTTTATTTCTCTGTGACGTACTGGAGAT